CAAGCCTCTGTCTTCTCAACCTGCAAAAGGGAGGTAGCATATACATTGCCATTTATCAAGAGTTCCTGTAAAAGAATGCATATAAAGGTGTTTTGGAAAACATAAAATGTTGTGTATGTATAGAGTGTTTTGGAATTTTTATTACTATTAAAAAACTACAAAGCAGGAATCATGAACATTGCTGTTTTTATTCCCTCTAATTTGTAAATTAATTTTGAAAGCATTCCTGCCAAATTTGCATAAATCCAAATTCATTTTTTTCTTTTAAACAAATTTGTCAACATCCATTTGGATGGTAGTATGGAAATTCAATATATTCACAACTTTCTCCCACTTTGCAGTAATATAATATACATCAGTGTTTTTATAGGGTATAGGGGTGTGTCCAAAGTAATGAAGTTTTTTATTCCATAGAAAAAAAGCAGAATAAACATAAAGTTGTTTAAACAGTTTTCTATGATTAAACACTTGTCAAACCTGTGAGTAGAGAAATGATAGGTCAGGGGCGATGGCTCACACCTGGAATCCCAACACTTTGGGAGGCTGAGGTGGGCAGATCACTTGAGGTCAGGAATTCAGGACCAACCTGGCCAATATGGTAAAGCCCTGTCTCTACTAAAAAAACAAATATAGCCAAGTGTGGTTGTTTCTGCCTGTGATCCCAGCTACTCAAGAGGCTGAGGCAGGAAAAAAAAAAAGAAAGAAAAGAAAAAGAAATTAAAAAAAAAATAGCCAGGTGTGGTGGCTCACACCTGTAGTCCCAGATACTCAGGAGGCAGAGGTAAGAGAAATTGCTTGAACCCAGGAGATGGAGGTTTCAATGAGCCAAGATGGTGCCATTGCCTAACACTTAGAAAAATAAACAACTTGATATAGAAGATGAGTGAGTCATAATCACATAAGGCCCTATCATAACATGATCTACTGTTTTTATCATAAAGTTTAGATAACTTCTGGATTAAAGATGTGTCTCTCCAAATGCAACAGCTGCTCACAGGTAAAGTCTGATTAACCTGCTGAGACTACAGGGAATGTGCTAATCTTATCCCTTCAATGCTAACATCATGAATAAATAAAGGTCTCTATTATGTAATAAGAACTTATAATAAATGACAGACTGACACAGTAGAATATTAATTGTAGTGAGAGACAAACATGTTCACCCTGTGACTTTGCGACAGTAACTTCCCTTAGCTTGAGACTCTGTTTCCCCATGTGTACTTGGGATGGAGTGAACTGTGAACTCTAAAGGGCCTCCCAGCACCAACATTCTGTGTTCTGATGGCTTTGATTTGACTTGGAAGCCCTAGTGCCACCTGAAGTCAGGTGATAAGGACACATGGGGACACCCGGCAGAGACAGGTTCTGTGTCCCAAGGTGATGCAGCAGATCTGGGGTTTGGGATGCCTGTTCCAAATCTAAATCCAACCTCTCCCTTGGCCAGATATCCTCTTTCCTAAACGGAACTCATTATCCCGGAGTGGGAGGCTCTTTTCCCTCTTTTCCCATGATTCAGAGGGGTGGGCTTCACTTTCTGTCTGTGTTTGTCTACCCATCTCCCTCCACGTCAGCATCAGCCCAGAGCCAGCGCAGCAGGTGACTCCCAAGTGTTTGTTGAAGATTGACTTGCGGTTTCATACTTTATTACTTATTAAATTTCTCCTTCTAGACTTGCAAGCATTTTATTTATTTATTTATTTATTTATTTATTTATTTATTTATTTATATTATTTTTGAGACAGAGTCTTGCACATACGCCCAGGCTGGATTGCAATGACACAGTCTTGCTCACTGCAACCTCTGCCTCCCGGGTTCAAGTGATTCTTCTGTCTCGGCCTCCCGAGTAGCTGGGATCATAGGTGTGCACCAACACGCTGGGCTAATTTTTGTATTTTTAGTGGAGATGGGGTTTTACCATGTTGGCCAGGCTGGTCTCGAACTCCTGACCTCAGGTAATCCACCTGCATCAGCCTCTTGAAGTGTTGGGATTACAGGCGTGAACCATTGCCCCTGGCTGCAAGCACTTTAAAGACAGAGCCCTCATCAAATTTGTTTCTCTCGCCCTATGGCTCCTTGTGCACCCACAAGGCGCAGCACACAGTGGGAGCTCAGTAGATGGGAATACACATATTTTGAGTAAGCTGGAAGGATGCCAATACCCATTTTGCTGAGATGGATATTCTTGCTCATGAAGACTCCCAGGATGCCCTAGATCAGTCTCAGTATGTGCCTTCTGCCCACTGGTGAGAGGAACAAGGATGCAACTTGGGCTGTCTGGGGAAGGTGAGGACAATAGCTAGAAACTGTCAAGTCCCAGAAACTCTTCCCAGTTTTGACTGAAGATGACACCTTTCATGACCTCAGTCTTTTCTTGCTTTGCAGTCTTGTTTAAAATGGCATTTGGAATATATCCTCATCCTACGACTCAGAAATGGAAAATATTATCAGACTGTTCATAGCAGCTGTATTCACAATACCCTCAAACTGGAAACAACGTAAATACACATCAGCAGAAGAATGGGTGGGCAATCTGCGTCTTGCTCTCCTAGAGAATACACTCAGCAATAAAAATGAGCAAACAACATGGGTGAATCTCAATAGCATCATCTAAATAAAAGGAACTAGACACAGAAGAGTACATACTGTATTATCCCATGCAAATGTAGTTCTAAAAACAGACAAAACTAATTGAGAGTGATAGAAATCAGAACAGCAATTGCCAACTAGGTACAGTGGCTAATGCCTGGAATCCCAGCACTTTGGAAGGCTGAGGTGGAAGGATTGCTTAAGGCCAGTAGTTAGAGACTCCATCTCTACAAAAAAAATACCAAAAATCTAGGTGGTGTGGTGGTGCACACCTGTAGTCCTAGCTACTGGGGAGGCTGAGGCAGGAGGATCACTTGGAACCCAGGAATACCAGGTTGCGGTGAACTATGACCCTGATATTGCACTTCAGCTTGGGCAACAGAGTGAGAATCTGTCTCTTAAAAAAAAGAACACTGATTGCCTAGGAGGTGGAGTGGGATGTGATGGGCTGGAAAGGGGCACTAGGGAACTTCCAGGGTCAGTAGAAATGCTCTATATCTTGACTGGGGTGGTGGATACAAAACTTATTGTTTGTTAATTAACCCTCAAATTAAAAAAAAACCGCAGTATTTGGAGCTGAGGTTCCTAGCCTCTCAATGGCCGCCTGTCTCCTGAATCAGACATCAGGAGAGGCAGCTGTGATTCGTGCAGCTGTGGCCACACTGCTGATTTCCTCACATCCGCAGGGGCGGCTCCAGCACGTGGCCCATTTTTCATCCAGGCACTTTGCTGGCGCTTGGTGAACGCCTGTCTCTCCCTGGGCTCTGTCCTGAGACCCACAGCAAACTCTCATCCTTCTTCCCATTGGCACTTCTTCAGCTCCCAAATCCTCTCTGTGTTTTCTCTTCTCCAGGCAAGTCCCTGGTTTTTCCATCCATGCTTTACCGGATGTGGTTTCCAAACACTTCTTCCTTGTATTTTCTCTCTCCTGGATATGCCCCAGCTGCCCAAGGCTCATTTCAAGGATTTTTTTGAACGCTTTTGCTGATGAACTTGACTTATACCTTCAAAGCAATTTGGGAGGAGGTGGACTGTGAACCTTTGTCAAGCCTATCAGTTTAAACTTTATTTTTTCAAATAGAGAAGAGAAATGAAAATGTGGTGGGAATTCCACAAAGGCCCCTGCAAATGACTGACATACATTTAGGCAGACAACGTCTTTGTGTGATGCCGGGAGGCTGATACATTAATAGATATAATTTGTAGGCTCCCAAGGAGAGGTTAAAGAGGAGAGCACAGATTCCTTTGAGTCCACTTGGTGCTCCCATGTCATCTGTCCCCAGACTTAATCAAGTTATCATATCAACTCGGTGTTTCCTGGACCCCAGCTCTCTGTCTGAATGAGGAAAAAATTTGCAGACAAATTTCTAGCAGCAGGAAGTTGGTGCTCTCCTGCGAGGCTGGATAAAAACTATGTGTAACCTCTCAAGGCCTCCCTCCCGCTCCTGCTGGGAGTTCAGTTCAAGTGGTTCCCTTATTTGATTACGCCTCTCAGGCCTTCTCTGGTGTAGGTATCCAATTCACTGCCGTGCCCACCGGCTCCCCACGAGGCAGAAAACATTAGAGTCACTCTTTTGTGAAATTATGGGGAGGCCGAGTGGGCCAAGCACTTTTGTGTGTGTGTGCGCGTATGTGTGTGCATGTATGCCTGTGTGTGAGGAGACACACAGATGTGTATAAAGAGAGGAATACCGTTCATTAGCAAATGTGGCATTGATTTATAATCATTTGCTTTAGTCACAGAATGACTGAGTGGTATCTTACATTCTCACAATAAAGAAAAAAAAGAGATGGTGAAAAAAAATCCTTCCTAAGCGCTAAATATATATATTGTTAAGAATAATTATTATTCTATAATAAAAATATATGTTATTATTCTTAAGAGCTTGCAAAAGCCTTATAGCATGTATGATTTACAATTAATGGACCTAATTTTTCCAATACAGTTTTCTTCCATGACTATATAATTCAAGTTATGCTGCTAAATATTTTATAATGAGAGTAAAAATTATCATGGCCTTTGTAACTGTATTCATGGGTGCATTTATTATTGAGCTGATATTGATGGGTTAGAAGATTTGTGCCTATTCGTCTCTCTTATTCGTTGCTTTATGAGTGTCCAAAAAGTGTGGGAATACATGCTGTGAGCTGTGCCCACTCTAGATTGCCTTTTTTCTCTTTTTAGTTTTCTCAAAAATATAAAAGACATACATTTATTTTCCTGCAGAATCACAAAAAGAAAGAAAGAAAGAAAGGAAGGAAGGAAGGAAGGAAGGAAGGAAGGAAGGAAGGAAGGAAGGAAGAAAGGAAGGAAGGTTAAAAAATCTTTGCAAGGCAATGTTTTGTATTCCTTTTCAGGCAATGTCAACGTAATCGAGGAAAATAATAGTAACATCTTTTTTTTTCATCTGCAGGTGCGGAAGACCTACTTACAACCCGAGAGGCGCTTTCAGATCACCCGAGTCTTCTGCAGCGCACAGGAGCTAGTCGTGCTGAAAAGAATGAAATTGGACTTGTCCAGGAGAGTTGCGGACAGCGCTGGGCTGGTAAGAAACGGAGTTACCATTCATCTATTCATTCCCAGAGAAAAAGGGAAATACACCCTCCCGAACTCAAGATGCCCATTGATTTATCCCCTTTAGCTGGCAAGACACTCGAGCCCCAATGTCTTCGGGCTCGTAAGCGTTTGTACTGAGAGAAGAAGGTCCCTCCCGGTTCCCACAGGGGCTTGGAAGTCAGGGGAGCCGGGAGGGGCGGCGGGGGCCGGGGCAAGAAGCGGGGCGGCTTTTATTTTGCGCCATAAAGGGCTGCACAATGTCTGCTGGAATTTCAACAGTTAAAGAGACCCCAGTGCACAAAAGGGCGCTCCGGCTGTAATCGGGAAATAAATTTGATTTTCTGAATTCTTTGGCGGCTGGTGACAAAGGGCCAGGTATGGCGCCGCGACGGGGGTGATCCTTGCAGAAGGCGGCGCGCGGCGGGGCGTGCGGGCCAGGGGGACAAAGGCGGGCGCGCCCGCCGCGCCACAGAGGCAAGGCCGGGCCAGGGGGCTCCGCGCTGTCCCTCGTCTGCGCCCAGGGCCGGCGCGGCCGCTGTGGGCGGCGTGGGGCAGAGACACGCCCGCGCCCGAGCCCCCGAACCCCCGAACCCCCGAGTCCCCGGGCCCGGGCCGCGTGTCGGGCTTTCCCCGCCCAGCCGTAGGTTCCAGCGCTGTCCCGGCAGCTGCCCTCGTGGCTCAGGGGCCGAGGCCAGGAGACTGCCTGAGGGACACTTCGCCGTGTCCCAAACCTGGGACTCCAGGGGCCTTCTTCTGGGGCCGTGAGCAACAGACTTTCAGAGCTTAAATCACTTCGTCAAGAAATGCCCATTAACCCAGCACTTCGGGAGGCCGAGGCGGGTGGATCACGAGGTCAGGAGTTCGAGACCAACCTGGCCAAATATGGTGACACCCCCTCTCTACTAAAAATTCAAAAATTAGCTGGGCGTGGTGGCAGACACCTGTAATCCCAGCTACTTGGGAGACTGAGGCAGAAGAATCTCTTGAACCCGGGAGGTGGAGGTTGAGTTAACCCTTCCCCAATTCAGCCTTTTGCTGGGGCTTTCAGGGGGCCACCAGAGATTCCCCTCTCTGTGAGGTTTATCCAAATCCCCCTGGCTCAATGAACTGAGTTTGCCCGCTTCTCTGTGTTTCTCAGGTTATATTTTGTCATTTAATGTGCCTTACATGCCTGTCCTTCAAGTTCTTCTTTGGCAGAAGTGGATCATCCTTTAATGACAAAGCAGGTGTTGGGGGGACGGGTTACCCCCTGAGAAAATAATACTACGTACTAGGTCTCTCAGGGCAGAAATTCATCATTCAAAAGCATTAAACTCTGCCCTCCTCACTCCCAGCCCTGCTCCGATCTTCTGGGTGTCTTCACCTCTTCCTCTGGCTCCTGAGTTGGCTGCTGCACCAACACGCATCAAACTCTCCTGGAACAGGAAGTGACCACTCACCAGGAGCCCAGAAGGCCCCGTGGGCAGAAGCATGGACTTCCTTCTCCTTATGGAGACACGGCTGAGCCATGTTTCCTTGGCACCACTCTGGAACCTTCGGACAGCCACCACCTCAGACAGTAGCCAGACTTTAGGTCCATTCCTTTCATGTCTAAAATGAGACAGTCCACAGTGTTGGTTTTCTTTATAGGGGACATCAGGATTCCAGAAAAGCAGACTTGGGAAGCAACAAAATGTTAGCATGCAGCTCACTGAGGCCCTTACACTTGGTCTGGGCAACTCTGTATGTAAAGTCCAATACCTTTAGCTGCTGGTTATAGGTGACCATATGTTTTGGTACAGAAATGAGGCTCCCTTGCTAGACTAATTCTTCCACAGGCTTCATTCATTCACATTCTTCTACTTGACCCTGCCTGTCAGGACCAACAATACCAAATAAACCAAAGTCTCTTGCCTCCTGTCCTCAGAATCTCTCAGAAGCATCCTCTTCCCTGCTGGAGCCATTTTATTTCAGGTTGAGCCTTAATTAAAATCAGCCAGATCTGTATGTGTGAGTGTGGATCGTGTGAATGTGGATCAATGTGTATGAGTGTGGACCTGTGTGTGAGTGTGGACCTATGTGTGTGAGTGTGGATCGTGAGTGTGGATCTGTGTGAGTGTGGATTGTGTGAATGTGGATCTGTATGTGTGAGTGTGGACCTGTGTGTGTGAGTGTGGACCTTGTGTGTGAGTATGGACCTATGTGTGTGAGTGTGGACCTGTGTGTGTGAGTGTGGACCTTGTGTGTATGGACCTATGTGTGTGAGTGTGGACCTGTGTGTGTGTGTGGATCGTGAGTGTGGATCTGAGTGTGGATTGTGTGAATGTGGATCTGTGTGTGTGTGATTGTGGACCTGTGTGTGTGAGTGTGGACCTTGTGTGTGAGTATGGACCTATGTGTGTGAGTGTGGACCTGTGTGTGTGAGTGTGGACCTTGTGTGTGAGTGTGGACCTGTGTGTGTGAATGTGGACCTTGTGTGTGAGTATGGACCTATGTGTGTGTGTGGACCTTGTGTGTGACTATGGACCTATGTGTGTGAGTGTGGACCTGTGTGTGTGAATGTGTATCTGTGTGTGTGAGTGTGGACCTTGTGTGTGAGTGTGGACCTGTGTGTGTGAACGTGGACCTGTGTGTGTGAGCCTGGTGTTTACGATCAGCAGTAAGAAGACTGGAAATGAGTTCTGATTAAATGAGAATCTAAATACAGAACAAGTACCCTAGGAATTGTAGCTAGATGAATAATTCTTAACCCAGCACAGTAACAGCAGCTTACAATGTGTGTGTGAATGTGGACCTGCTTGTGTGAGTGTGGTTTTTGTTACATGTGTAATGCTGATATCATAAGGAGAGTATTGTTGTGCTCACAGGATGTCAGGTATAGAAGGTTCCAAATGCTTTGTTGTATTACTTATCTATTGTTGCATAACAAATTACCACAAACTTAGTACTTTAAAACAACACATTTATTATTTCACAGTTCCTGTGGGTCAGGAGTCCAAGCACAGTTTAATTGATTCCTCTGTTTTAGATTCTCTTATAATGCTTTAATCCATGGGTCAGTCAGGGCTGGGGTCTCATCTGAAGCTTGACTGGGGAAGGATCTGCTTCCAAACTCAGGTGGTTGTTGACAGAATTTAGTTCCTTGAGGGTTGTTGGCCTGAGGGCCTCAGCTTCTTGAGGGCCCTCAGCCAGAGGCCACTCTCAGTTCCACGCTGGGACTTCTCTCTGTGGCAGCTTACTCCATCAAAGCCAGCAAGGGAGACAGCTGACAGTGAGAGCCGGCTAGTAAGATGGGTGTTCAAGTCTGCTGTAATATATTAATACCATGACACTGACATCCACCACCATTGCCATATTCTGTTGGTTGGAATCAAGTCAAAGGCTCTGCTCACACTGGAGGGAAGGGATCCCACAAGAACATGTACACCAGGAAGCATGGCCCATAGAGTCTCTTGGGAGTCTGTCTACCACATTTGCCTCACCCCACAAGTAAACTGAGGACCCCAAATGGGGGTGTGTCCTGGTCACAATCTCAGTGAGTTAGTTCAGTGGCTAGACTCAAATCTAGAACAATTATTCAAAGTCTTGTGCTCTTTCCTCTGTAACATGCCTCCATAAGACAAGTTTCAAATATGTGAAGCCTTTGGTTCTGAAAAGCAGATCATAGTCTCTACCCAGCAGTCTTTGCTGCTCAGGTTAACTGTGACCACAACCACAAAGTCACTGTGGTCCTCCCCTGAGGAATTCAAGGAACCCCTGCACCCTGGGCCCTATAAAATATTCCTAAACCAAAATGGTGGAAACGATCCCTTTTTCAGATCAATTAAATCAGAAAATTTTCAGAACATCAGGGTTTGCTCGGTCTCTCCCACCTCCACTCCCTTAACAAATGAGAAATCTGAGGTCTAGAAATGAGAAGTGATTTATTCAAGCACACAGCGATGACGCAGCCTCATCCTCTTTCTTTTCCACAAATTTCAAGCAACCACAGAGAATGGAGTGGCTTGCCTAACCTGGCCCAGGGAGGGCTGGCCAGTGGGACACGTGGAGTCAGGACTCAGAGGCCCTCGGGGCCACTCCTGTCACATCTCTCCCTGCAGCCTGCAGCTTTCAGTCTCCAGCTGACCCTTGACCCCAGGGTCGGAGACCAAAAGGAAAACAATCAAATAAGGAACAGTTCGGATTCCCAACAGGCCAAGTTGTCTCTTTCAGGAAAAATCTGCTCAGGTCATGAATTCTGGACACGTAATGGCTGTTTAGTTCATTCCCAAAAGACCACCCGTCACTGACAGACATGGCTTTATGTAATACGACCTTAGCATTGTCTCTGTAATTTCAGTGAGATTACAATTCCCACCTCAAGAGGTGGAAGTGAAGTCTGATTTTCCATGAAGAGTGCGTGTGTGTGCATATGCGTGTGTGTGTGTGTGTGTGTGTTTCTTTTTCTCTGGGTCCAAGTCTTTATCTTGCTAAATCCATTACATCTCTCTGCCTGTCTGCTCTGGAGACAAAAAGTGGCATTTTCTGGCCTGAGGTCACACTGCATTTGGCCAAACATTGTCCCAGCAAAGCTATGAACAAAATTTCCTCCTCCATGTGTGCTCTTCTGAAAGAGACCTCTGGCTGCTTTCACCATCCACTGTCCTCAGAGAATAACTGAAGGAACAAATGAAACTAGATATAATGAGTTCTGTGCCAGCTCATCTTGAGTTTCAATGAACTTATCTCTTTGCTGGCTTTGAAGAGCTGAAATCACTCCATGTGCTGGGGATAGTTTAGAGAATACGAAGAATTTGATCCTTGGATGGGCTACGTAGTTGTGATCCCGGGCTACTTTTGAGATTTTTTTTCTCCTGGGCTGAAACAGACTTTCTGAAGGCACTTGTTTTCAAGAGATGTCAGAAATATGCTGCAGAAAAATAATCATCAAATCATTTGGGAATAAATAAGAAAAGAGCATTTATATTAGCAATAAGATAATCTCTTCTGGGATTCATAACTAATTTAGTGGAAGTGTTTTTTTTTAAAATAAAATCCACATCAGTATTAGAAGAAGTGGACTGATGTTCAGTGCCGTTTAGGGCCACCAACCTCAGCATTTGCCGGATGCGGACTCAGGGACTCTGTCTCTTTGCACACGCTGCTTGCTGTTCTTGGAGAAGCTTCTACCTCCTCTTTCTGACGACCTCTTCCTACTCATCCGGCAGAGGCCAGCTGGAATGCCCCCTCTTCCATGAGGGCTGGTCCTGTTCCCACTTCCCCAGTCTCTCCTCACTGTGCACAGGGGTGGGTGCCCCCCTCTTTGTTCTCTCACAACCTCTTTATATAGCTCTATCTAGGTCTTTGCTGTATTTGCCCTGGGAGACGGTGATCAACGTGAGAACAGGGGTTTTGTTTTGTTCATTTTCGTTTTCTCAGGCCTTGGAAGACTCACACAGCTCATCATGGCACAGGCTTGATGGGCGGATGAACTGGCAAATTGCTTTGAGGAAAATCTCTTTGATTGGTACATTTGATTCCTGGTTAATAAATGGCTTACTAACATTCCTGTAATACATGCTGCCAGATAGCTAACACCATTGAAATGCTACAGAGCTGCTTTGTGCAAAGATGTGCTTTACGAAAGATAAAGACTGCCAGGTAGAAACGGAGCATATGAATCACTGCACTCTTGACAACTGAAAGAAAATTATGTCCCTGGTACTGCACATTGCTAATACTGTCTTACATTTATTGAGCATTCACAGTATGTCCAGACAATATGCTAAGACTACCATGATGTCTTTTGGAGGTTGGTCCTGTTGTGCTCATTTTACAGATTAGAAAACCAAGGCACAGAGATGAGTTGAGTCGCCCTAGATCACCTGGCCAGTGAGAGAGGCAAGTGTTCAAGCCCGAGCTGCCCCACTCTAGAGCACAGGTCACAACCTCTAAAGGAACACAGAAACTTTGTCCAACATATACATGGGCCGAAATGCAATTTAACGTTTATTGAGTGTCTGTGGCACACTGGTTCTTGCCCTGGCACTGTGAATACATAAGTGAAAGGATCAGGTCTCTTCCCTTGAAATTTTCTAAGGAGAGATGGGGGCGAGAGCTCAGATAAACACACAATTTATCAGAGTGCGGGAGGAAATGCAAGTGTCATAAAGAGGGATGATGTGCTATACGGGTTCCTGGAGGGAGCATGCAACCATCTGGTGGCATGGATCAGGAAAGGCTTCCTGGAGGAGGTGGCATGTTAGGTGAGCCTTGAAGGATGAGACATCTATGGGAGAGATCCAGAAAGAGGCTATGGAGGAGGGAATCTTTAGGATGAAGTGGGAGCAGTGGGAAAGAAGGATGAGAAGGTAGGTGGGGCCAGCACAGGGATGCCAAGGGGTCTGCTTGGGAGGTTGGGGCCAATCTGGTGAGAGAGCCAGGGGCTACGTTAAATTAGCAAGGAGAAGGATGCTGCTGCCCTGAAGGATGAAGCACTCTAGTAGGTCTGAAGTCCCCACGACTAGTGTGAGATGCCTGGGTAAGACTGGTTCCAATGTGTCTCTCCTTTCCAAAGTCTTTATCTTCACGGTTGCTTTGTAACAATGCTGTAGACCACCAGCTCCCACATCTTCTCCCCTCCCTGAATTACCTCTACATTTTGATTTGAGAGTCCTATGGAACTTTCTTCTTGCCCTTCATGTATTTCCAGGTGATTTGTAGCCTGTTTCTCAGCCACCCCTCCTGATGGCCTGTCACCTGGTTTTGGGTGCTCCTTGTTCCAGTTCTGTGATCATCCTCCGGGCTATCCTTAGCTGCTCCTCTGTGTCTCTAGCAGCACTCAGACATGGGGCCTTGATTTTTTAAAAGTACACAAATGGTGCTTTTGGCCTCTCTTAGCCTAGATAAACATGATTAAAACCCCACTGTCTATAAGGCCAACAGAAACTCACTCATGAGAATCCACTTAATGGCTTTATAATGAAGCTCTGCCCAAGTGTTCAACCTGAAGTGTTCGAGGAA